GCGTTTTTAAAAAAATTGAAAAATTTAAGGTTACAAAATCACATTGTGAACCTCCTACTTTTGATATTTAATATTTTTAAAGGTATTAAAATTTTTACCATAATATTATGGTTAATGAACTCAGGGAATCATCGAGTTTCACATATATTAAAACTACATTTTTTTAAAATTTGGTCGCAACCACTATTAGACGAAAGTCAGTGGACTAAACCCTAAATGAAAATTCGAGCAAATAAAAATTCGAACAAATAAAAATTCTGTGCAGTGAATTTGCGGTTATATAAAAATTCTGTTATACAGAAAATCGTTTTGATGCGAAAATTCTGCAAAATACTAATTCAAACAAATAAAAATTCGACTCAAAAATAATTATGACAAATGAAATTCTATAAAATGAAAATCTTAACTAATGATTTTTAGAAAATAATCATGAGTCCCGTTTTTTGTTTGAAAATAACTGTACCTATATATCCATGAATTTTAATGCAATCTATCGACAGCTCATCATTTCGCTTATTATTATCATCATATCATCAACCAAGCAGAAATTATTGCTGCGGAGGATCTCGTTTGCACTATATACGAAAGATGAACAATGGAAGGTAGGATATCCTGTCCTAAATAATTGCCGAAGAGCATATAATGTGTGGTCTAAAAATTTTTAATAGACATATATATATATATATATATACATATACAGTGCATAAACACTGATTGTGAGCTCTATACACTTGGCTGGATCACACCACACACCGTTTTTCCAAGTGAACCGCTTTTGCCGCCACACGTTCGCCAATCTTTCTCTATCTCTCTCTCTCACCAATATACTATGGGTTGGGTTCTAGTTTTCTCTGGTCTCTGATATGGTATAAAGTTTCAAACAAGCGCGTTATTCGCTACGAGAATTTTAACGGGAGCCGGTAATTATGCGCCAGGAATATTGCCGGCTTTGCCTCTACTGAACCCTTATACTTCTCTGTAACTCTAGCCCACTCGATTATTCCAGTGCTGAATTCATTCTTCTCGCTTCTCGTTTGAAAAATAGATGAAAAAAAAAAGAATCCCTCTCTCCCTCTTTTTATATGAGAGCGCCCCGCAGATGAATTCAATTTGTTACTCGTGCTGCGGTTGAAAATTGGTTTGAGAAGGCAATTTCAATTAGAAGAGAAATTTTGTTTCTGTCAAAAAAAAAAGTATTCTCCTTTGGAGAAAATTTCAAAGCAAAACTTTTTCCCTCATAAAGAAATAAACAGAGCGATGATGATAATTTGCTTAAATCAAATACAGCTAAAAAAAAAAGTTATTTTGATATCGTAATTTTATAAAAACTGCTATTATTCAAAATACTTTCTTTAAAAATGCATTTTATTTACTGTTATGTATATATATTATTTCTTTAAAATGAGCTGAGAAATATATCGTGTGAGTTTTTTTTTTCTCTCTTTTTTTCCCTAAAAGACAATATTTTTTGACGTGATACATATGTTTGCAGCAATTTTCCGGGCGATAATGTCCTACTAAATAATAAAGAAAAAGTGAAGAAAGTCAACCCTCTTTTTTTTGTTACTTTAGTCTTATATAGGATATGCTATAAAAAAAATCTCTGGACCATCCACTTGTTTTCTCAAGTGGCCTCTAAAGGCAGACACATAAATTCTGAAACCAAGTGTAAGTTTTCCATCTAGAAGGTATAAAGCTTCCCTCCTCAAATCTAAACACTTGTCTAAAGCCCCAAAAGAATGAAAAGATTTTCAAGAGCCAAATCTGTAATCTAAACTACATATCAACTTCCATGAGTCTAAACACTCGACTGTTTATTTCAATTTGAAACTCGTATCTCTTGTTCATATATATATATATATATATATATATACATCTTGAACTTTAAAATTAAATTACTTAACAACTTTTTTTTTGACGTTAATATATACAGAGTGATTTTTATGTTCCGGGTCCAATAAATTTTTTTTTATCTATTTTTTTTCGTTTTTTAAACAAAAAAAAAGTGGAATTAAAAAAAAATTATATGAGATCCGGAACATAAAAATCACCCTGTATATAACGTTGACATATAACATCAAGAAAGTTGAAAAGATTTTGTAAGTTATGAAATTAAAATATGAATTTTTAAATTTAAGATTTGTTATTTTTTCCTTAAAAGATAAATTTAAAACTAAACTAAATTTTCAGCAAAAACATATTTTTTTTTATATCTGATTTTTTTTATCACTTTACAAAGAGGTTATGTTCAAGTTTTTGTTACACGGAGAAAACTGGAAAAACAAATACATACTTTAAAAGTAAAACCGGAACTGTCCGCAGTTTCTGCGTATTTCTGTCAATGTTTACTCCAAAAATAATAAAATTTACTATTACCGGAATAATTTTTACTATTTCAGGAGTCAATTTTACTATTTCTGAAGTAAAAATTGACAGAAATGCTCAGAAACTGCGGACAGTTCCGCTTTTATTTTTAAAGTATAGTAAAAGATACTTTATTCGTTTTTCCATTTTTCTTCGTGTAGATGTCCGAAAAAAATAAAATATGTTTTATGTATTTTGAAAAAAATTATAATTTTAAATAACTATCATAGCCACAGCACCGAATCCAAAGTCTATTTTATCCCATCACGTCAAATTTTTGACATAACCACAAAAAGTATTCACAGTATTAAAAAAAATATATATTTCTAGCCTAGGGGTTAGGGTATATTTATCATATTATGTTTTTGAGGTCACTAAGGGGCCATTCATTAATTACGTAAGGGTTCTTAGGGGGAGGGGGGGTTTATAAAATCTCAACATGGTCTTACGTGGGGGGTGGGGGGTAGAAGCTAATCTTACGTAAGCTTTTGCCAAGTATTTTCCATTTGTATTGATGTAATTAATTTTTTAATTACATTAATATTGTTAAAAACTTACGTAAGAAGGGGGAGGGGGGGTCCGAAAAATCTTATGTATCCTTACATGGGGGTAGGGGGGGTCAAAATTAGCCAAAATCGTCCTTACGTAATTAATGAATGGCCCCTAAAATCAAATCCAAAGTTCATTTTACCCCATCATGGCAAATTTTTCCACATAACCTCAAAAAGTATAGAATTTTTGCTCATTTTTTTTGAGGTTATATTAAAAAATTTGACATAATGGGGTAAATGGACCTTTAATTTTATTTTAGCGACTCAAAAAGCAATGTACCTTGAACCCCAGAAAAGAATTATTTTTGTTTTGATAATATTGTAAAAATCTTTTTGAGGTTATGTCAAAAATTTAACGTGATGGGATAAAATAGACTTTGGATTCGATTTTTGATTTTATTTTCTATTTTTTCTGCGACCAAAAATGTTTTTTTTAAGGTTATATCAAAATTCGTGACATGATGGGGGTAAAATGGACTTTAGATTCGGTTACAGCGATTCCAAAAACAATACAGTAAAAATGATTTGACCCCCGTTTAGAAAAGAAAAAATTTACTTGTATGTCAGTGTTCAAATTTTTTTTAAAAAATTGTTTCTTTGAATCAAAGAAACACAGTTAAACAAATACGCATGCGCGGTATACGCAAAAATGTCAACTAAAAGTTTCTATTTACTCCCAGATAGCACGTAATCTTACAGCAACCTTGCGCAAAGCTTGCCGCGCAATATTGCCAACCTTGCACGGCAATATTGCCGCAAGGTTGCTGCAAGCTTAAAATGTCCCACCTGACCCAAGCTTGCATGGTAAGCTTGCGGCAAAATTGCCGTGCAAGGTTACTGCAAGATTGTTCAATAAGATTATCGCAATATTGCTCGGTAAGCTTGTGGCAAGGTTGCTTGGCAATCTTATGGCAAGCTTGGCGCAAGCTTGCGGAATATTAACAAAAAATTTTTTTAGGTTTACGAAAATGAGCACTATGCGCACTTGCAATCACAAGCACTTACGGCTGCGCAATAAATTTTTTTGACCTCCCAGAAACTGGTGCTCAATGTATATACAGAAATAAATTTCTTCCCTCCAAAAAATTTTTTTTTTTCAAATTCCGCAAGCTTGCTCCAAGCTTGCCATAAAATTGCCAAGCAACCTTGCCACAAGCTTACCAAGCAATATTGCGATAAACTTATTGAACAATCTTGTAGTAACCTTGCACGACTATCTTGCCGTAAGCTTACCATGCAAGCTTGTGTCAGGTGGGACATTTTAAGCTTGCAGCAACCTTGTGGCAATATTGCCGCGCAAGGTTGGCAATATTGCGCGGCAAGTTTGCCGCAAGGTTGCTGCAAGATTACGTGCCATCTGGGCTATGGCGCGCAAATTGTAATTTGTCGTGAATTTTTTTTTTCGTCCAAACCTTTAATATATCTTTTGAAAAAATGAACCGACATAGATTAATTTTTTATTATTGAACACAATAATTTCGAAAATTCACTTTTTTTTATTTTCAAAAATATTTCTCTAAAAATCGTTGATCATAAAAATGTTATGAACTTTAGCATCGTGTTAAAATTTTAGAAAATAAAAACTGAAACGATTCTGAAGTACTACGCAACGTTTATGAAAAACGATTTTTAAAGAAATAATTTTTTAAAATGAAAAATTCTATAATTTTTTGTCTTAAAAAATATTTTTTGTAGTGTTTATTAATCAAATTATAAAAAAATATTTTTTTTAAATAAACCATTAATTTTATAATTTTCCATATTAAATAAAAATTGATTTTTAATCGTTGATCATAAACGTTACGTATATACTTCATCATCGTAAACTGAATCCAATATGATCAATTTTTTTCCAAACAATTTTAATTATTCAAAAAAGTCGAAAAATTAACCTTATGCGACCTATATATATTCACATAATACACGGATCTTTATCCATTTAAAGATGAACAAGTCTAAATTTTATTTCCACTCGATTTCATCGTGATAAGAGGGGAAATCGGAGATGATCGCTTGTTTTGGTTATATCGTTTACAAAAATCGTGTCCACAATATATACATAGATATATAAGATGGCACACGTACCTTTTGTGCTTTACAGGCGGCTGCCAATGGTAGAACATCGGAGGAATGAAGCCCATGACGATCTCGTGAACAAAGTGAGCAGGCAGCAATCTTACATTGAGCACAATAAAGGCCCACTGATTCTCCGTTGTGATCGGCACAAATCAGGTTACTGTCGTGACCAGTTCCTCGTACACTTTTTCCGCCGTTTGACTGCCATCTGCCTCGTGGTGGGCCCAAATTATGTGCCGCTAAGGGTCCCCTATTTGGATGGCATGCCTCCCTACAGGCGTCACAATACAAAACCTGAAAAAAAAAATATATTTTTTTTTTTATTAAACACATTTATTGTTCAATCAAAAAGGAAAAAAAAATTCTCTTTATATACACAAATTTCTTCTTCCGCTGGAAAAAAAAAAGTTTTCATGTGACACAAATTTAACATATTATCAGACGAGAATAATATCCATAATTAGGACATTCACTGTAATTTCTTTAAAAAAAAATATATATATAAATATATTTTTAATTTTCTTGGCTTTTATTTGTTTACCTATAGTTTTTATAAATAAATATATTCGGAAAAAATCGATTTATTTTCAATGAAATTTTAATAAATATTAAAAAAAACCATTTGTTTAATATATCAGTTTTCCTAAAAATATCAAATTGAGACCAAAAGTTGCATCAAATCTTTGCAACGTTTTGATGCACATAAGTTATATCAAAAAGAGATCGTTTTGTGTATCATTTTTAGAAATGATACACGAAACGGTCTCATTTTTTGATGCAAAAAATTTAATCAATTTTTATCAATCATGACCGAATTGAATCGACTCAAAATTTAACGAATTTTTTTCAGATATTTTGGTAATAGTATAATTGCGGAGACCATTTCACTATTTAATTTGAAAATGAAAATAACAGAAAATCAAAGACAATGTGCAATTCGATAATTAAAAAGTGACAGCTTATAAACATAACCTAAAATGCATGAGAAAAAATTTGTCGATAAAATCAATATAGCCGAGCTTTTTAGAAGGTAGATGGCAGCACTCATCTTTTTTCTTTCTTTAAATTTTTTCTGAATCGTTTTTATAAAAAGTAAAACTGCCATCTACCTTCTAAAAAGCTCGGCTATATTGATTTTATCGACAAATTTTTTCTCATGCATTTTAGGTTATGTTTATAAGCTGTCACTTTTTAATTATCGAATTGCACATTGTCTTTGATTTTCTGTTATTTTCATTTTCAAATTAAATAGTGAAATGGTCTCCGCAATTGTACTATTACCAAAATATCTGAAAAAAATTCGTTTAATTTTGAGTCGATTCAATTCGGCCATGATTGATATAAATTGATTAAATTTTTTGCATCAAAAAATGAGACCGTTTCGTGTATATCATTTCTAAAAATGATACACAAAACGATCTCTTTTTGATATAACTTATGTGCATTAAAACGTTGCAATAGAAAAAGATACAACCAAGTTTACTGTGATTCTACCAAATTTCACTGAAAAAAGAGACAAAAGAAGCAAAAAATTATAGGTTATGTTTATGATTGTTTTACCCACGGTTTTACGTTAATTAAAATTTTTTTTATGTAACACAAAAATCAGTTTTTATTAAATATTTTTAATTGTAATGAAGACTTAACATATATCAATTATTTGTATTGAGAATCGATAATCTTTTTTGTTTTTCACTCCAAACTATCATAAACATAACCTATAATTGAGCCGCTGGATTCTAGAAGGGCACGTAAATTTTTTCTGCCGGAAAACAAAGTCCCCTGGACACTTAAAATTCATTTTTCGAATTTTAATATTTTTTGAGCATATTCTTATACAGAATTCGATTGCGCATCTTTTTTTCTGAATAAGAAATTTTCCATCTTTTTCCGTTTTCGAAATATAAGAGAAAAACTGTTTTTTAAAAAAAATAAAATTTTCATTGCTTTTTTTGACTTCAACTCGCGACAGCTCAGACAATTTTACGAATTTCTTAATGAAACAAAAACTTCTTTGGACCTTAATGAACAACTTTCTCATTGGAAGTTTGTTGCTGGTGAAAATTTACGAAAATTCCTCACAGGGTGAAAATTGAAGTTCATGAATTTTGCAATGTCTCATTAAAAAATTAATAACTTTTTTATTTTTAATCAAAACAACTTTTTTCTTTTTTAGTCACTCGTAGAATATAATAACACGTATTTTCGTTTTTGTTTCATTAAGAAATTCGTAAAATTGTCTGAGCTGTCGCGAGTTGAAGTCAAAAAAAACAATGAAAATTTTATTTTTTTAAAAAACAGTTTTTCTCTTATATTTCGAAAAGGGAAAAAGATGGAAAATTTCTTATCAAGAAAAAAAGATGCGCAATCGAATTCTATATAAGAATATGCTCGAAAAATATTAAAATTCGAAAAATGAATTTTAAGTGTCCAGGGGACTTCGTTTTCCCGCAGAAAAAATTTACGTGCCCTTCTAAAATCCAGCGGCTCAATTTTTTGCTTCTTCTGTCTTTTTCTTTAGAGCATTTCACAAATATGAATATTTTAACTTATATTTACAAGAAAAAATTTATATTTTAAAAATATTTATTTTCTTTTTTAAATAATAATAATATAGAATTAGAATTATTTTCTCTCATCAGATCTTTTTAAAAAATTTTCAAATAATAAACATCCCTACTTTATTGTTCTGAATAATTAAAATCGCATTTGGTTCACCTCATTCATTGTCAATGCGTATCTTGTTACATATATTGGTGAAATATTAAAGATAGAATAAAGCCAACATGAAAGAGATTACAGAATTGACAAATGGTGACTCATCCGCTACATAAAAATGACCATATGATTTTAATTTTAACGCTACAAATATTATTTTCACATTTATTTATAACCCGTTGGAAAATTTAATAAAAATGTTCAAATTTTTATAAATTACAAATTTTTTTTTACCCAAAAATTTAAATCCTCTTATACATAATAAAAAAAATATTTTAAATGGAAATTTAATTGTCCTCCACATACAAATATTTATATTATTTATAATAAATACAAAAAATATTTATTTTTATAGATACTAATTTATATATATTTTTTTTTTGGTGTAAATTATTTACTTTCATAAAAAAAACAGTTAAAATTGCATTTCTTTGTATTTTTTAATACAGTTTTAAATTTCACCCTAATATGTAATCAATATCTTTAGGTGCAGAAAAAAGAAGGGAAAATAATTTGAAAAAATTGTTACTTTAATAAAAGGTATATGACTAAGTCTATTATAAAGAGGTTATTGGTACTGGATCAAGGCTTTTTCCATGGTCGTGATCTACCTCGAAGAATATTGTACACTTCCGGGATTAAGGGTCACATGATCCGCCTATTGATAAATTTGTCTGTACCGCGTAATTTATAACAGGATCATCTTTTATATAAAATTCACTCAATGGAAAAGGTCTGTAAGCCGAGCTTAAAGATTTTTTAAGAATTTCTTAACAATATCTATATATATATATATATATAACTTCAAGGTAAATTTCTTCTTCTCAAAGAAAATGTAAAATTCCATAAGAAAATACTATTTGCAACAGCTATTTTCTATATATATATATATATATATATAGTTAAAAATTACTTATATTAATATATTAATTTGAAATTATATATTTTATGCTAATATAATTTTTACAATTAGTATATTTTAACAATTTTTTAAATTTACCGCCATTATTTCTAGTTTTCTGTTACACAATTGGTACTTTTGACTTATCACAGCACAAGATACCTAACCTCAAAATTTTGCTATTTAATGAAAATTTTCTATTATAATTATAATAATAAATTAATATTATTTTTTTTTTATTATTACCATAAAGCTACCATTTCTATTCTATTATACTATAAAAGCATTATTTTTTATGAAAATATCTTTTTTTTTAATTTCCAAACAATTACTATATATACATTATTAAAAATCGATGAGAAATCATATATAGAAGCATTTAATCAAGACTAAAAATTCTCAAACTTTCTAAAGTCAATAGAGCATTGCAGAAACAAAATATAATTGAGAACAAAATTTATGGAAGCATTGACACAAATTTCCAAATACATTTGAGAATAATATTATTGCGAAAAATTGCTAATTTGCATATGAACATTATTTTCAGTTTAGAAAAAAAAAATAAAATAAAATAAACGAAGATTAGAATATCCTACTTTAGAATATTGATGACTTTAAAGTCACAATTAAATTTGAGATTTACGTCTCGCTATAAATAATCAGAAACAGCAGTGTGTGTGTTAACTAAAACTATTTGCCGCCTACTAAAATGTAACGGTGTTTAAACTTTTGCGCGTAGGAAAGTAAACTTGAATATTTATTACTTATTTACGAATCTCAAAATGAAATCTATGACAGAGAGAGAGAAAGAGAGAAAGAGAAGAATGTTTTTTTCAATACAAAATTATTCTCATTCTTCAGCTGATTAAATGATTATTTATCTTCGAAAATAAATTTCTTTAGAAAATATAAATAAATAGCAAAAATTTTTTTCTGTAAATATTTTTTCATATTTGAAAATTTTTTTTCCTCATGTGTCTTAAGCGAAATAAGTCATTTTTTAAAATAATATTTTTAAAAATATATTATATTTTCATCAATTATAATTTATCATTCAAATAATCGACAATAAATTACATATTATTAATTAGGAAAATTATTGATAAAATTAAGTGTTTTCAATTTTAAATGCTTTACGAGATTTAATTGGATAATTATTAATTTGTTTTATTCGTTTTTGTTGTATGTGAATTATGCAATATGAATCAGCAGAAAGTGAAATGTTGGAAGAGATATATATATATACGCAGATTGAAATGAATTTTACGATTCAACCTTTATTAATTAGTATTTAATTAAATCTCATTCGATATCGAAATTTCACATTATGTGGCTTGTTATTTAAATACAATCCAAAGAACTAAAAACATGAAACTCAATATACCAATTTCCTTTAAATATTATTTATTATGTTGTACATCGAAATTATGTATGTTTGATATATTTCATCAAAAGGTTATAACCAATATTTTGAAAATTATCTATGCAATTAATATTCGCAAAAAAAAAAATTTTAATTTCGATCAAAATCCTATATGGATATTTGATTCGTTGAATGTGTTACAAAAAAAAGTAAATAAATTTTAAAAAATTTGAAAACAAAAATTGAAGATATTTCCATTTTTTAATATTATTATTTATTTATTATTTTTTTCAATAATAATAAAATTAATTAATATTATTTATTAGAATTTTAAAAAATATTTTAATTTTCACAAAAATGGAATGTTTTTTATCATTATTGTTTTATTATTTTATTGCAGTGCGATAAATAGTGCGTATACCCTTATCTAGGTACCATATAAGTTTTAAAATGTGGAATTTGCATAATTACTTATATTTGCAATTGAAAGTAAAGATGTAAATTGAATATATAACACTATATATAGAAGAACGCAGAAATTAATTATTTCATACACGCAAGAAGAAATAAGTTCCGAATAAATTTGAATTAAACAAAAGATAAAATAATTATTATATATATGATGTAGACTACAATGCGAAAGACCAGAATTGTTTTTTTTTACATTTAAACAAGATCAACTGTAAAATTTTCAAAAAATTCAAAATTTTTTTAAATAATTCAATTCTAAAATCGAAATTTGATTTCTAAACTCAGAAACATTTAAAAATTATTATTTTTCAAAAACATATTTTGTGCTGAAATGTAATTTTTTAAATAAAATAATTCTAATTAAATTCTTCAAAAATTGAATTACTTTTGAAATTTTTAATTTAAAATCATTTAAACTGATACATTTACTGATTTTAATATTTAACATATTAAAAATATTTCTTTTTGCAAATTAATTTTAATTCCCAGAGAACTTATTTTTTTTTTTTTTTTGAAAAAATTTGTAGTAAACATTTTTTAAATTGATATTAAAAATTTTGATTGCATTTTTTTGAAATATAAAATCATTTTCAAAATTTTAAATTAAAAAATTTTTTTAAAGAAATTTGTATAAAGTTTTTCATGTCTTCAAATATTAAAACTTTCATGTGTGAAAATCGTGTAAAATTTTATTGCTGAATAAAAATTATCTGCTAATCTTTTGAAAATTAATAATTTAAAAAATATTTTATTAAAATTATTGCGCCAATTTATTTATTTATTTTATTTAAAAATCCCATTTTTTCGATTTAAATCTGATTTTTTTTTATTTAAATCAAATTACTTTACTTACGTCACATTATTTTCAAAAGTTCTTTTCTAAATTATTTTTTTTCAATAAATATTTAACAGATAAATTTAATAATAAAAGCATCAAAGAAACATTTATATTTTTATTAAAGAAAATAACATATTTAAACAAACTAAAAAAAACAAACACAAACTAAAATTATCAAACAATTTGTGATTTTCAAAATTTTTTATTTCTATAAAACCAACAATTTTGTAATATTATAACTTAAAAAATTTGAATTACTAGAACTTTTTGTTTTAGAAAATTTTAGAACTGATTAAAAAATTTTTTAACTAAAATTATCCAAAATAGAAATTTGTTAAAAATATTTTGATTTTTGAATTTGAACCTTTCAAAATTAAGGCTGTTTAAGGTTGTCAATTTGCAATTTTGGACAAATGAAAATTCTCTCAATTAGAAATTCTGTTAATTATAAGTAAAAAACTCCTTAAGTATATTACTGTATTAAGGAATGAAAAAACTTGCAAAAAATTTGTAGCAGATATATATAATAGTTGAAACAATTAAAATTTTTTTATTTCAGTATTTTGTCTTGCATTTCAAAGAAAACAGCTGTTTTCTTTGAACTGCAAGACAAAATACTGAAACAGTTTCACTTTGATTTTCAAGTTTTTATGCATTGAGCGATAACTTTTTTTATTTTATGCTATCAATTGTCAAGATAAAAGCTTGGCAATACTCAAAACCTCTTGCATGAAATCTGAGGTTAAAATATTGACGTTGAACTTCATTTTAAAACTGTAAATTAAGCTCCAAAAACCTCTTGTCCACATTTACCCCAACCCTCATAACAAAAGGATATCCCTAGGATCTCCATAGGATATCCATATCAATGGTCGATATCCCACAATGGTCCCCAGGATATCCCTAGGATATCCAAACCGCCGGTCTGTGGGACATCAACAGGACATTCATAGAATATCCACAGGATATCCCTACGACATCCACAAAATATCTATTGGATATTATATCGCAGGATATCCATGGGATATCCTCAGGATGTCCGTGGGATATTCTTAGGATATTCACGGGATATTTAATATCTCAACATATATTTTTAAAGGTTAAAATTGTTAAGCTAATATAATGAATAATAATATCATAAAACAAAAATCTTATGAGCTTCTAATTTATTTTAAATAAAGATTTGAAACGCATTTTTCAAAGTTTTTAAATAAACTCATGCACTTAATGTATAATTAATATTAATAGTTATTCGTTATTTGCGGGGAAGAATTTATATTGTTTAAAGCCAATTTATTTTCTGACAATATTAAGCATATGAATAAAGGAATGAATCACGAATGAGAAAAAAATTAGTTAATAATTTTTCAAATTAAACAACTTTCTCGAAAAACAAGTTGCATTTTATTTTATTTATATAAAATTTAATTCACAGAATATTCTCACTCGTTGTCTCATAATGACTTTAAAAACAGTATCCTGAGAATATCTTCTTGACATCCAGAAGATATACTGAGAATATCCTGAAAATATCTGTGGAATATCCTGACAATATCTATGGAATATCCTGATGATATCTGTGGGATATCCTGACGATATCTATGGGATATCTGGAGGACATTTATGAAAGTCTATAGAGATATCCAGAAGATATCCTGTGGATATCCTCAGATATCCAAAGGATATCCAAACCGCCGATTTTTTGGATATCCATAAGAGATCCTTTTGATATCCATAGGACATCCCTAGGATATCTGCGGGATATTATCAATATATCCCAAGATATCTTGTGTTATTATAGGAAACTGACCCTATAACAAATGAAATTCCATAAAATGAATATTCTAACAAATAATTTTTAGAACATAATCATATATTCGTCCCGTAATAAGTACACAATGGAGAAAATAAATAAATCCATAAAAATAAAAATAATAATAATAATAATTCACCTCGCATTGTTCGCACGCAACAGTTGCATCCTTGGGTTCATTCTCGCACATCTGACACTGAAGTTTAATATTCTTCGATTCAAGATATTTTTCAATAATACGTTGCATTGCCCTGTACTTGGGTAAATTGTGAGCACCCCCTTCATCGAAGTAGACCGTCTTTTGGCAAACCGGACATGACAAGCATAGAGTACCGCCAGAGGGTGGGAAACCACCGTTTCCGGGTGTTCCAACATAACTTCCTGGTCTTGAACCAGTTGATGTGCTACTACAAACAACACCGGAATCAGTTTCCGACAAAATTGACAATTTATCAGCTTCCTGATCGGAGCCTGGTGCATTTGTTGAATCAGTTGTTGATTCCGGCGGTGAATCAGGTGGCGCTTGTAAATTGACAGCACAACCATGACAGAGCGCGTGCCAACATGGTAATAGTACAGGATCACTAAATAATTCCTTACAAACTGAACATCGTAATTCTTCCTCCATATTTCTTTTCTTTTTATTCACGAATTTTTAATTACTTTTGTTTTTATTTTTACAGAAATTGAACAATTTTTTTTTTGTTTTGCTCTTCAAGAAGAATTTTTTTTCCTTAAATCCGGGAATTCCCTCTTCCTTTTTAACTCCACGTGCAAACCAAGGCTCTATAGAAAACCGGTTATTCCCGCAATCGTTTTTTTTTCCCTCTTTTTTTTTTTTTGTTCCCCCGTTCGTTCGAAAGCAGCGCTTCGAGCGAATTTTAAGGTCTTCGATTCAGGTATATATCTATATAGGAATGGTGAATTTTTACCAACGAATTTTCATTCCCTGTATATTAGAATGTATCAGTTGATAATTGGAATTTTTTTTGTTTTTTTTTTTTAAAGAAATTATTTTTAATAAAAATTTTGTAATTAAGTGTTTAAAGTTATGTGGAATGTTAAAAGTTATATACAGAATTCAATTATTGGGAGCGCGTAAAACACGTTATATGATTTTTAGGCCGAGGACACTATTGAGGAATTTATAGGAGTAAAATCACATAAATTTGAAAATATAAAAGATCTAGACACTGAAAAACTTTTTTTTATTATTATTATTGTTATTATTTCACTCCACGCTTGTGCATTGTTTCATCAAGCGTTCCAGGACACTCACTCGTCTAATTAGCCACTAGCTGTTAGCACAAGCGCGCAACACTTGAGTAGTTTCAAACCTTATAGACACTCGCAGACACTACGGATATAGTTTCGCAATATTCTTCCTTTTTTTTTATTTCTCGTCCATTCAGATCTACTGATTATGATCCTTCAAGTTTTTTTTATTTTAAATCTCTTTTTTCAAATATTCGAATTTTTTATTCAATTGGAACTTTTCTTTAGGTACTCTTTTAGATATTTTTTTTTAATACTTAGATACTCCTTTAGGGTACAATTTTAAAAAATAATTCAATTTAAATAATAATTCAGTTTAACTGTTTTACTCGTTGTGTTGTATTGAAATTTTTATTTTTGCACTTCAATAATTATTTTCTTAGGGAAATTTATCAACAATATTGGCAAAAATTCTTTATTTGAGAAAAAACTATTTTTTTCACCCTCTACAAATATCGAATTAGAGTCCCAAACAATTCCTTTAATTTCTTCCTGGAGGATTTCTCAAGTTTCAGACGAGGTAGAATTGCAAAGAAGATTCTTGCCAATTTTTTTTTTTTTTTTTTATAGAACTTCAGTTTACTTGGAAAATTTCTTAATTTCAGGTTTATTCGTATTTCGACGAAAACTGTTTTCACCTGCCAGAGTAATTTTCTCGGATCTAATTACCAACACATTCACTTACACACACTCACAAATGCACTATAAGAATGATAATCGCCAAAGGATTTGCACTTTAACATTGCTCAATGAAAAAAAAAAACATGCGGAAGTATTCGCGCACACCTTTCGTTCTATATATGCAAAAATTTTACACATTTGATGATTTTAATTGGAAATTTAATCCATTTAGAGAAAAAATTTTTTTATTAACTTTTATTTATTTTTGCAAAATAGTTTTTTAATTTTTGGTTCAAAATTGATAATAAATTATTTTAATTAGTGAATTATGGTGCATTTTTTGCACCAAGGATGAATCCATATTTTGTGGATCACACACGATCACGCTTTCGCGGGTGCGCGAAGCCGGTAAAGCGCTGCTTTGAAGGACAGCACTTTCTTGGAAGCCGTCACCGGGTTGACTGACTTCAAAAGCTGGTGAGAGTCAAAGAACTGCCGCGCAACCTGGCCACGCATCACGATTCAGGACCGTGTAATCCTGGCGGTGGCGACCGAGATGCATATGCAGGAGCAGCGGCCGAGAGCAGGTAAATCACCTGAGTAGGAGTTGAAGAATTTATTTCTTACTTGCGAGATGAATTATACATTATTATATCACTACTTAATTATTGTTAAAGTAATGTTGATTTATTCAATTTCCCCAAAAAAAAAAAAACAATTCTCTCTAAAATCCAATTTCCGGAGAGTTTGTTTTCTAGACGTTTTATAGGAAAAATAATTTATGTTCTTAATAGACAACTATTGCTAACCCAAATAGTACAACATATATGTGATGCTTTACGGTCAAACTTAACTGTTTTACATAACTTGCCGCAAATTTTTTAGAAAATGTTGTGCTATCTGCGCTTGTACGGATATTTTGGCTTCACATAATGTAAACATAACCTTTAAATTTCAAAATATTTTGAATATGTGACTTGGACATAGTTATAAAAGGGACCTTAAGGTGAATGCGCCAGTGCTCGTCACCTTAAGGCCAGGTCCAAGTGAGGCAGCGCCATCTACATTGAAACTAAAATTTTGGAAAAATTTCAACAGCCTTTTCTTGAAAACAAGATGGTAAAATGCTTTTTCCTTTATGCATAATTGATTATTGGCATGATATATACCAGCTAAAACTTTTTTTGAGTTAAAATAATGAAAAAAATTTCATGTCGATAAATTAAATATGAGCACTTTTTTCACAAAAACTGTAACAGTACTTTCTCAGAAATTACAATCAAAAATGCAATTTCCATTTGGAAAATTAATAAACGCTAATAAATACACGACCTAAGATTTACCAATCACGAAAATAAGAAAAAAAAATTTTATTAAATATTTAACATATTGATACTGCTTTACTGATTGTGACAGCCCTTTGGTAGATTATGTATTTCAGGTGGTTAGCAACAGCGCCAATCTCCTCCTTTCGGGAAAACTGCGAAACGTCTGGTGACATATATAACCTGCCAAACGGCTGTCATAATGAGTAAAATATGTTATGTTAAAATACTTTTTTTTTGTTATTTTTGTGATTGGTAAATCTTAGGTCGTGTATTTTTTAGCGTTTATTAATTTTCCAAATGGAAATTGCATTTTTGATTGTAATTTCTGAGAAAGTACTGTTACAGTTTTTGTGAAAAAAGTGCTCATATTTAATTTATTGACATGAAATTTTTTTTATTATTTTAACTCAAAAAAAGTTTTAGCTGGTGTATATCTTGCTAATAATCAATTATCCATAAAGGAAAAAGCATTTTACCATCTTGTGTTCAAGAAAAGGCTGTTGAAATTTTTCCAAAATTTTAGTTTCAATGTAGGGTGTTTTCGGCATTCACTCAGAGTTAACTCTAGAGTTAGCAGTGGTGCTCAAATGTAAATTTTGATTTTCAGTTCGTCCGTTGGTTGTTAATGTTGTTGATTGGCAATTTGGGATAGACGGTTCATTTTGATTGGCGCAGGGTTTGCAATTGTAACAACATGTGAAACGGGCCTTTTATTCTAGTAATGTAATGTTAAAATAAAATTTTTTGTTTCTAGATTTCATAAAAGTCCCCAAAAATTTATTACTAGATGACCCAGAGTTAACTCTGTTTTCTTGCGAGAGTAAAGAAAAAAGGTCAGTTCTAACCTTTAATGGCCGACAAAATTTGTGAACGGATTGTTTGTTTTGAAAAGTGTAAATTGAAATAAAATTCAAGAAATAAAAACGTTTCGTGAGTTTGGAGTAAGAAAAGGGTAACATCAAAATGGAAGTATATCATTAATAAAAATTAATGTTTCTAAATAAACTAAGTGTTTATGAAAAATCTTGTTCTCTTTTTGTTTTAGTAACGTAATTTTACATAATTTATTTTTGTTAAAAATTATTTTAACTTTTTATTTATAAAAAACAACTTTAATTAAAATAAATAATCTAGTTTCTAAAACAATTCAGATTAATTAAAGTTAGGGAAATAATGAAAAATTTGAAAATTATAAACTTTAAAAAAATAACACGTTTATGGGTAGCAAAAATATGTTCCATTTTTAAATGAAAAACAAAAAAGACGTATAAATTAAAAAAAGTAAGCAAACAAGAACAACTAACTTCAAACTCAGGGTGATGAAAATGGAAAATCAATTATTTTATTTAGGTAAATAAATTTTCAAAGATAATATCATTGAGCACCACTGTTAACTCTAGTGTTAACTCTGAGTGAATGCCGAAAACACCCAACGATGGCGCTGCCTCACTTGGACCTGGCCTTAAGACTAAATCCATTTTTAAAAGAAGTAATTAATAATCTTAGAGACAACATTGATAAATAAAACAAATTTTATCGTTTAAAGTAGAGTTCAGGTGTATGCGCTATAGTTACCGTCAGATGCACTCTCATTGGTCGGTTCAGTGTTCGTCACTTGCGTGCCTTAGTTACCATCAGGTACGTTTAAGATGGTATTTAAACAAACAGCTTTTATCTGACGAACACTAAAACATTAAGCTTTGTCATTCAATTGCTTCAGTTATCGTCATCAAATTAGATAGAAAGTATTTTTATTTTACAAGCAGATATTACCTGACGAATACTAAAATTTACTACCATTAATATATGTATAGAATTAAGTATTGCAAAGAAATAACAGTTTTTTTAACGTTATACTATATTAGAATATGCGATTACTTTAGTCCATGTCAATTTTCAGTGTTCGTCAGTCGCGACGACTTTACAAGCAATACGTAAATAAATGTTTCAGTCGTCGTCATTGCTATTTCAAACCAAATTTATGAAAATAAAAGTACTAAAAAACATAATTAAACAATAATAGTGATATTGACAAATACAATAAGCATAAACTTACTTTATAAAATACAATGGTTTTGAACCTGCAATGTTTTTGATTTCTCGTGTTTTCTTAACCTCAAATTTAACGATTTCGCTACATCGAATTACGTTCACATACCTACCGCACAAAAAAAATTAATAATTTTCAATTGAAAATGAATTATGAGCGAAAACAATAGTTGCTATTCAATGTTGCAATATATAAACTTACTAAAAATCTTATAATTTGATCCATAAAACGACCATGCGTCTTATTTTTAGGTAATATTGTGAATAGTTGACGAGGACTAACGCACTGACGAGCACTGGCACATTCACCTTATGTCCGAAATTAAGTTTTCGAAAAAAATAACTTCAAAGTTAACAAGTCGAAAATAATGCTCCTGCACGTTGAAATAGCTTGAAACTCTTTATTAGGAAGTTTTTGAGGTCGCTGATTACGAATCTGACATCAGATTTTCAAAATTCAAAATGGCTGATCCAATATGGCACCCAAAAAAAATGAAAGAATCATCTGGATTCGCTTCAAACATATTGTGATAAGTTTAACAAATTTAAATGAAACTTGTTACTTGAGGGTTTTTGAGGTTGCTGATCACGAATCTGGCATCAGATTTTCAAAATTCAAAATGGCGGATCCAAAATGGCGGACAAAATTAAAAAATTGATCGGATTTGCTTGAAACTCGTTACTTGGGGGTTTTTGAGGTCGCTGATTACGAATCAGGAATTATATTTTAAAAATTCAAAATGGCGGATGACAAATATAAAAATTAGTTGGATTTGCTTGAAACTCGTTACTCGGGGGGTTTTGAGGTCGCTGCGATTACGAATTTGCCATCAGATTTCAAAAATTCAAAATGGCGGATCCAATATGGACTAGATTGGCTACGTGAGAATGCTGGGTGCGCAATCTCGTCTGCTTGTCAACTAGCATAAATCGCAATTGTTTAGACACGTAAATTATTAAAATTAAATAAGTTAATAAGTTACAATTGGATTCCTTTGGAACATTAAAGAAAACACTCAGGTCTTTGCAAACATGTCGTTTGTATAAGAAGATATCATCTTTTCCAACTTATAAAGTGAGCAAAATTCTAAAATAAATTATACGCGAAAAATTATATAATACTTTATCACTGTATTGTATCATTAAATTGTAATTTTCTTCGAGAAATGGGCGTGAAAGTCGTATGATATATCTATATATGTAATATATGCGAAATATGCCTTTGCAATTGCTGATTTTATTTGTGGATTCTTTAATGTATCGATGACATCCAATTGAAGAGTGTGTACAGCACACCTTACCACCAAAAATTTGGAGTCCTCATCTGCCAAAAATGGTTCAATATTAATTGACTCTTTTATTTTCTGTTAACGACTCATCTAAATTTATTTCCTCCGTTTCGTCAACGTTCTGAATATCATTCTCCTAAAGTTGTTCTTCAAGCAAATCACCCATTTTTAACATATTCGATCCATTATCGGTTGTGCAGAAATAGATTTTTTGTTTATTAATATTAAAATTTTCCAAAATTTCAATTATGACATCTTTTTAGTTACTCTCCCGTGTGTGAAAAAATGAGTTCCTTAATGGCTAATGTCCTGAAATGCAGTACGACATCTATTACGTACTGGGAATTTAATCCTAAAAATGAGCGGTTGTGTCATAGTAGCGACATCCGTTTTCATACTAATTAGAGGAATCTAAAAGTAAATTAATATATTAATTTCTTTTTAACACATTGATTTTTAATATTCACGTAAAAATATTTCCAGGAAGTGTTTCGTAGAAATTTAATTGGAATTTCTAATCAGAATTCCAAATTAAATTCGATAAAAAATTTAACAGAATTCCGGCTACAATTTTATTCGGAATTCTGTTGAAATTTTTATCGAAGTACTACTTGTTTTTGTATCCATACAAACATTAAATAAGAAAGTTATCAGTTTTGTCTCTTTCGTATAAAGTTATCACGTGTCTTTATAATTATTTAAAAATAGATAATAACTGCTTCCAGAAAAGTTACCATATACATATTTTTATAATATTTTATAATTTTAATCTTTTTTTTTATTTTATGAGTTTTGAAAAAAAA